GAACTGCGTTGTAACATACATGATATTTGTACTTAAGAAACTTTAAATATATGAAAAAATATAATGAAATAAAGAAAAAGTATGTTGTCTTTTAATTTCAGAATAATCGCCTGATTATTCTAGAATCATTCTATCGCTTATATATCGCTGAGCGCACTATTTTGTCGGTATGCAGTGTGAAGAATAGTTTCAATTCCTTCACGCGCCTGATGATTCTCGAGAAATCTATTGCGGACGAATATTCGAGTCGCTGCTTGCGTGACGTGACCGGCCAGGCCAAATACGTGTATTCTCAAGCAATAACATCGCAAATGTGTGTTAATTCCCCAAGAATACGCGTCGCCAACCTGACCTACGAAGAAGCGTCCGTTGTCTTCTTTCTTGAAGGTCCAAGTCGATATTGCTTCCTGGTACACAGAATAACAATCGATGACACTCGATGCTGATATGTCGATATTGTTCTTCATTCCATACGTTTGCTATAATCTTTATTGGAAATTAAACGGTTTAATCCAATGGATTACTGAAAAATATCCTTGGAAAATATTTTTTCGAAAAAAAATCGACACAAATCTCAAAATTAGATGAACATCAAAAAATATATTACACAAGCATCTCTAAGCATAAAGAGTCAGAATTGAAACAGTTGATCAATTGTACGAATTAGTAAAGCAAATTGGTTGAAGGATCCATTTTGATGTACGAATTAGTAAAGCAAATTGGTCGAAGGATCCATTTTGATTAAAATAAAGATAGATCAAGTCATCGGATCAGAATTTAAAATTTCATTCTTGTTCGAGTCATTCCTTGTGAGAATAACAAACATGACCTCACGATAAACGACACACACAATCACATTTATCATAAAACATTTCCAACATTTCAATACGCTGTGTTTGTAATCCGTTTTGCGACCTATATATAAATATTTTTGATACTCTATAGACCAACGCGAAATGTAAAAAATATAATAGTCCAGGAATTATGGAGAATTATGGATGTTAAAGATAAAGATTTAAACGAGCGGTCCATAGAAGAGATGGAACATTGATGCACGATAAATGTACGATTAAATAACTCAGTGAAATAAATCACATACGGAAAGCATAACCGGATATATACGGTCGTATATGTACATACATGACAGATTTTAAGCTCATGAACCGAGTATTACGAGGAGTCCGAAAGTCAGCAATAATATTCACTTCGTCTATTTTAGTCGCGCGCGTATATATCCGTGTTTTAGTATCCATCTCCTCACGGATACTTAAATTCTCGCCATGTGTGAGTATGTCATATACGCGCGACGACTTTCGAGTTCATTCCAACTTTGTACTGATACACCTATATTCCATTAGTTTTACGTTCGAATCATTGAGATTTATATGTACTCTCTCTGACGGAAAAAAAGCTGGTATTAATATCGAAATCGTTAAAGACAGAATCTTAACGTAACGGGAAGTACGATGCAATAAATTAAACGGCGTGACGTTATTTTTTTCTTGCAGTTTATTATACACAATTCATCTGCACAGAATGCAATTCAAATTTGATCACAATAAACTACTAGTAGCAGCATGGATATATAGTCGTCGAGATATTAAAACTGTTAATCTTAAACACGAGATGCATTATCCACTCATTACTTGCGCCAATACGAATAAAAAGCAAAATTGACAGCGGAAACAATCGGAATGATGATAAAAAAAAGACAGTGCGTATTGATGATTGTGAAACGGCTAACTATTATAAATGTTTGCCATTTGCGTATATAAAGGCAATATGGTTACTGCCTGTATATTTAGTTTGTAAATTATATATTAACCTTTATCTATATTTAAAGGAGGGAAGGAATTCATTTCTCTAAAGTAGTCCTGTCCAATTTGCACTCCGGAGCAAAAGCGCAAAGCCATCGACGCAAAAATTTAATATGGATAAGATTTCGGGGACTATAAAGTATTGATACGCATCTGAGTGACGCTTATCAATGCTTTACAGTCCCTGAAATCTTATTCACATTGAATTTTTTTGCATCGATGGCTTTGCGTTTTGGCTCCAGAGAGCTCAAATTGGACAGACCTGCTCTAAAGGCTCACAGAAATTAGCAAGTGATATACGTAACAGTATTAGAGCGCAATTTGTCAGTTTAATTTTTTTTGCAATTTAGACAGCAAGAATCTATTTCATTATATCTGATGCAATTAATACAGTTTTTTATTCGCAGAATTTTGGCGTTTATGATATTCGAAAAATGTTATTGTATAGGCATTCGAATAAAGCATATTTGACAAATAAAAATTGATAAAGGAAACACACACGTCATCACAAGGAAATGCGAAATGTAACAACGTTGGAAACACCGGTAGTTCAGCGTTATCGATTGGTAAATGAACACCTGCATTAAACGGATCTATGGATGGTTGCCACAGGACCAAGAATCAAGAACATCTAACGCCAAGCACTTTACGGGAAAGTGATCTTAAAGGTGTTCACCCGATTGAATGGAAATAAAACGTGGACACAACTGCCAATACACTTAGGTGAGATTCGCTGTTCTTGCTGGTCCAAGAAGGAGGAAGCTCGACAGTGCACGGTGGTATAGCGCTCAGAGGGAGGACGGAAACAATTCCGTGATAACAAGATCCAAGTGCCGAAGAGCGTTCGTGCTGTAACGTGCAAGACGGTAGAGAATGGCGTAAAGCTAAGGTGTAATAGCTGTGTGTGTGTGTGTGTGTGTGTGTGGGGGGGGGGAGAGAGAGAGAGAGTGTGTGTGTGTGTGTGTGTGTTTATGTTTGTAAATGAGATATTGGGTACAACAATAATATAAATCAATAAAGCTAAGCTTTGAATATAATATATCTACTTCTCAAGTTATAATTCACAGACTAATCAGTTATTTTTTCTCAGAATTATATTCTATATACACACTAAATCTCGCTAATAAATTTGCCTTCTGTTAAGCAAAATCTTTTTCTTCAGACCAGCGTATTGCAGTGGTAAAAAATAAATTATGTGTTATTAAGAAAAAAATTTATTATCTGCATTGGAAATTATTTATAATTTATCTCAATAGAAAATAAATTTTAGATCTTTCTCTTTACAAGATACGCTCAACATGCGCGTAAAAATGGCTTGCATACTAAGCGAATAAAAAAACACATAACATCGTGTCTCGCATACATAAACGAATAAAGCGTAACATGTTTTAAACTTATTGCTTTTTTATCGCGACGTCTCGTATGACATACTAATTAATATAATACGTGCACAATCTGGATATTAGTATATGCAACTCAATAGAATAACATCGTCGTGAAAAAGATAGCTGTGACATATAAGAATAAGTTCTTTTCTTTCTCCCTCTTTTTTTTTTGTTAAAAAGAAATTGAAGTAAAACCTACATGCGGCTTCAAAAGGCGAAGAGATCGAGGTACCAGTAAGGTACATAGAACGAACAGTTAGAAGAAGGGTGCAGGATAGAGGACGCAGGAAAGATAGGGGAGAATGCGAGAGAGAAAAAGAGAGGGTTGAAAGACTGACGGACGGCGGATCCCCGACAAATGGATTAAGCGCAAATTGCTAAACTCTGTTTAATTTGGCCAAATGAATTTTGTTCCGCCAGCCCTCTCCTGTTCTTTCTCTTCCCCCCGTACATTCTCCTATCCCCTTTTCATTTCTCTTACTCTTTCTTACTTTTGTGCTTACTCTCGTAGTAGATAGATCAAACTTTCGGTCAAAATCTTGTTTCTCATCAAAAGATGTAAGTTGAATTTCAAAACATACATACATTTTTATCTTTTTAAGATATATTTGGAATATTAGGAGAGGAAAAATCAAATTTTTCATTAATGAGAAATTATTTCTTATAATCCATTAGAAATTATTTCACTTCATGTATAAAATAAAAATTATTGTTTTGATATAGATACTTTTATAGAAATGATGTATACACACACGCACGCACGCACAAAGCGAAAGGATACGTTTAATCGTAAAAAAATTTTATTATGTTTCATTATGTTGTGCAACAAATATAGTACGATAATATTTATTTCATTTTAATGTTGAATCTTCAACTTTTAAATTTGCGGTAAAATATTTGTATTATGTTTAATCGTTGATAGTTTGACTGGAAGATGTACAAATGCGTAAGTCAGTTCGCATCAAAGGCATGATTATGTATCGTTGCATGTTGGTCCTGTATGTACCGTATGAGGGTAAATTCATATAATCTGATTATTATACATACGACAGACATATTAGATTGTTTTGCAATGTTTAGAACATCCGTCAGATTAATTCTGAGATATGAGCGGAAGTTTTCGAATTTGCATCATCAAAATTAAAGATCAAACAAATTATCATGAATAAATATAGTATATCTCTTTCTCGAATCGAAGAATTGACGCCATCTGGATTAGATACGAGGTGTTAGTAATGCTTGATCGGTCGTACGCTGGTATCAATAAAGCGAGCTCAATTTGGTTTTTCTACAGGCTCTACAGTATTCCGATTCACATGGCAAATGCTTGATGTGACTCATTTATTACGTAATGTACATATATGTTATTCACTATTATGAGAGTTTTCCGTTCTAATATGAAAACATTAAGGCTATTGCGAATAATAGAAAACATCATCAGCTGTACCGGCTGTATGCTACTGATTAATGATGATACGACACACACACATTACATTTTCTAAACTATATTACTTCTACAATATTTGTTTTATTTACTTATCGATTTATTAATATTTTGTTAATATTTGACATACTAAAAACATATAATTTATAAATTATAAGTATTTTTATCTATATAGATATGATGCATCTTCTCATTTACGCATTATAAAGTAACAAAGTGTTATTTCTCTCTCTCTCTCTCTCTCTCTCTCTCTCTCTCTCTCTCTTATGTAATTCTCTTAAATGACGTCATGAAATTGCAATGAACCATATAACAAACAACTTTATCTCGGTATGAGCAGTCGTGTGCGAGAATTTCAAGCGAGCAGATCGCCTTGACTTGATAAAACAATCACGTTCAACATATTGCATTGGATTATAACCTGAGGGTGCCTCACACAATTGCAAACAGTGATATTGACACAAACTTTCACGACATTGGCGTTCAACTTTATCTCGAACAAAAGGAGTAATCGGGTTCCGATTAAACATTTATCATGGAGTATTGGACAATAGTCTTATCAATAATAGCCGTCATACTTGCTATTTATTATTATTCATCCCGTAAAAATTCGAATGTGTTTCAGCAGCACGGAATTCCACATGTAAAAGACTATTTCTTGTTAGAAAGGATTTGGAAACTTTTTGTTCGACCAAAAAGTTTCGCCGATATGATTAAAGAAATGTACAATGTGCATTCCGATGCTAAGTATATTGGTGCTTTCGATTTTACGAGATCGATCGTAGTAATTCGTGATCTTGAACTGATTAAATCTGTCGCTATTAAAAATTTCGACGCGTTTCCGGATCATCTTTTCTTTGGCAACGAAACTCAAGATCCGCTTTTTGGAACAAATTTGATTGCTCTTCGCGGTGACAAATGGCGCGACATTAGATCGCTTCTGAGTCCTGCTTTTACAGCTAGTAAAATGAAGACAATGTTTCAATTGATATCTGAATGCGCTGTGAACTTTTCGGAGTACTTATTGAATGTACCGTCAGATAAACGCGTTATGGAAATGAAAGATATATTCACAAGATACTCTAACGACGTGATCGCCTCATGCGCCTTTGGTATTGACGTGGATTCGATGAGAAACCCAGAAAATGATTTTTACATTTTCGGCAAAAAAGCGACAAATTTTGGCATGTTTGCTCTTATGAAAATTATGATGTATCAACATATGCCGTCGCTTATACGTCTGTTAAATATTAAATTAATAGATGATCGTACTAATGCATTCTTTGTAAATCTGGTAGCTGACACTATAAGAATAAGAGAAGAGAAAGGTATTACTCGTCCAGACGTAATCCAATTGTTGATGGATAGCAGAAGTAAAAGAGAACCCGGGAGAGAACTGACCATTTTGAATATAACATCACAGGCATTCATTTTTTTTGTTGCTGGCTTTGACAGTAGCTCGACACTGATGAGTTTCGTGGCACACGAAATTGCCGTCAATCCAGATATTCAAGAGAAACTGCAAAATGAGATCGACAAAATTTTAGAAGATACGAATGGTAAACCATCTTATGAGGCGATCAATGGAATGAAATATCTAAATGCCGTTATTAATGAGGCTCTCAGAAAGTATCCGGTACAACCAATGACGGACAGAATATGCGTTAAAGATTTTGAGTTGCCTCCTACACTGCCAAATGCAAAGCCATGTCTTGTAAAGGAAGGAATGACACTCTTTATCCCAATTTATGCGCTTCAACACGACCCTAAATACTTTCCGGAACCTGATAAATTCAAACCTGAGAGATTCTTCGATGAAGAAGACCAGTGTAATTTTAATGCTTATTATCCATTTGGATTAGGTCCGAGAATGTGCATCGGCAATAGATTCGCGTTGCTCGAGACAAGAATTATGTTATTTCATCTTCTGGCTCGTTGTCAGTTAAAGCCGTGCGAGAAAACTTCGACATCTGTAAAATTTCAGAAAGGTGGATTTTCAATGCGGATGGAAGGCGGTTTCTGGTTGAGCATTGTACCTAGAGAAAACGCGCATCCTACGGTTATGGAAGCAAACCAGTCATGTCAGTTCCAAATTCCAAAGTAATCCAAATGTAAGGCCGTCGAACAGTAGGAGCATTCAAAACATAGAATTCTACAAATATACATATTGTCTTTGGAAATTCGCAAATATCACATATTAGAGATATAAAGGTTTAAAACTGACACGACTAATTACAGATTACGATTAAATGGCTGTTTGTCCGTGCGATCATTACATTATCGTGCGTGACTCATGGACAGGCAGTCGTTTAATAATAATCTATAATTGGCTAGTTTTAAACATTTATATCTCAAAAACTACTGCTGAGAATAAAAAATGACAAATATTCTTTTAAATTCTTTTTCAAGAACTTTCTTGTTGTAGTATTTTGATTCGCGAATTTTGAGATGTAAAAAAAATCACAAACATATTTTACATTATATTTACTGCAATATAGACATTATGCTACATTATTATAACATAAATTATATAAATATATATATATAAATAATAATAAAAAATATTAGAATGTATAAATTTATTTACAAGATATTCTACGGCAATTCTGCGATTCTATTTCAATTACCGATGCGAAAACAGTTTAGATCGCAGTGTATATATATATATATAAGTATCTTTTATTCGCTCCATTGTCTGAAATTATAACTTATAGTCATGATTCAAATCGTCACGACAAGACAACAGACAGTTTAATGCAATTTTGTAATTTTGTTGTTGTATGTATTAAATTCGTAGACGTAATAAGAACAAACTAATTGTGTATTCCTATAAAGTTGTCACTATCGATTCACAGAAGGAGTGAAGTAGTTTGAATCATATCTCTCTCTCTCTCTCTCTCTCTCAAATATCGAATTGAAGAAAGATACTAATAATAATACTTACATGTTTAATTCTTTCTATGAAGCACAAATTCTAAGATAACGAATGTATAGGGAATATTTATTACGTCTACGACTAAATTGTTATTAATTGATGTAAATCAAGTTACTTATCAATAGTAAATAAAAGGCACATCGAATATATTTGACATGGCAAATATACTTGAAAATATTAAATAAACGGTAATCTGCTGAATCCAGTATTCAATTATAAAAATGTATCATGTTAATAACAACGAAGGCATCTATGAAGATACTGTAAAATACTCGTTGCATCTACTTGCGTAAGCGATGACGAATCCGATGTTATATTAGAAAGATTACGTCAGTGCAGTAGCAGTCAGCCGTCAGCTTTTGACGTGTAACGTTGTGCTTCAGTACCGTCTTTGTTATTAACAGTACAATAAAAAAGTACTTAAGAAACAATCTGGTTACCAAAAAGTACAAAAGTTTATTTCAATTTCTACAAAACTATATGGTGTATACTAATTCAACGATATATATGTACATATATATACTATCAATATGATATATATAATTGCATTGTCGGTGATAGCAGGTGCTTTAGGCCTTTATTATTTTCTCTTCAAAGATTTAAATTATTTCAAAAAATATGGCATACCATATAAGACACCTCTGCCGATATTGGGAAATATGGGACCAACGTTTTTGCGTCTTCAGTCGTTAGCCGAATTGGTCAAGACCACTTATAACTTACATCCTGAAGCCAAGTATGTTGGTATGTTTGATATGACCGTTCCAGTTGTGGTGATTCGTGATCCCGAGCTTATTAAATCCGTCACGTTGAAACACTTCGATAATTTCATGGATCATCGCAGTTTTATAGATGAAAATCAAGATCCACTATTCGGCAAAAATCTTTTCGCCCTTCGCGGAGAAAAATGGCGACAGGTACGATCTTCATTGAGTCCAGCCTTCACATCCAGCAAAATGAAATACATGTTTAAGTTAATGTCGGACTGTGGTGTCAATTTCGGTAATTATTTGGCGCAATTGCCACCGGAGCAGAGAATACTGCAGATGAAAGACATCTTTACGAAATATACTAACGACGTGATTGCTACTTGTGCTTTTGGTGTCAGTGTTGATTCCATGAGAAACTCGGAAAACGAATTCTATGTATACGGCAAAGAAGCGACATCTTTTAACACTACTGCTTTCATAAAGTTTTACATATTTAGAACCTTGCCTTGGTTGGCACGATTAATCAACTTGAAAATCATTCGTCAAAAAATAACAGATTTTTTCCGAGACCTTATAGAAACTACTATAAAAACCAGGGATGAGAATGGTATCGTCCGTCCTGATATGTTGCAATTGATGATGGAAACCCGAAGTAAAGAGGGCAAAGCAGAATTCACTACCGATGATATGGTAGCACAGGCATTTATCTTTTTCTTTGCTGGCTTCGATAGTACTTCAACGTTAATGAGTTTTGCCGCTCATGAACTCGCAATAAACCAAGATATACAAGAAAAAGTTCAAAAGGAAATCGACCAAGTTTTGGAAGAAACGAATGGACAAGCACCTTACGAAGCGATTAATGGCATGGAATATTTAGATGCTGTGATTAACGAAGCTCTCAGGATGTATCCGGTTGCTGTAGCAATGGACAGAGTATGTGCAAAAGATTTTGAGCTGCCGCCAGCATTACCAGGATTGAAACCATTGGTTATAAAGAAAGGGCAAAGCATATGGATACCGGCTTATGGACTTCAACATGACCCTAATTACTTTAAGGATCCGGAGAAATTTGATCCCGAACGATTTTTTGGTGAACAGAAGAAGGACAGTCTCAATTGCGGAGCCTACGTTCCTTTTGGTCTTGGTCCCAGGATGTGCATAGGTAACAGATTCGCATTATTGGAGACAAAGGTTATACTTTTTCAACTACTGGCCCGTTGCGATTTGAAAACCTGCGAGAAGACGCCAATACCAATCAAACTCGCTAAAGACAGCTTCAATATGAAACCTGAAGGTGGTTTCTGGCTGAAGGTGTTACCAAGAAAAAATACGCATCACACTCTAGCAACTAATCTCGTAAATGGAACACACTAAATGTAAGAAAATTTTAATAAATTGTTATGACTTCTTGAAAAATTTAAAATAAAAGAGACATTTTTCGATATAGAAAAACAATTCCTGTTACTTTTGTAATTAATAAAAAATAATAAAGAAAAATAAAAATAATAAAGAAAAGTGTCTAGATGATACTGATCTAAAAAAAAATAATTTTTGATTTGTAAAATTGTTTAAGTTTTTAAAAACATACTTATAGAACCTCATAATTAAAAAATTTAATATTCAAGCATATTTATGGTATGAGATACAATGAAATAGTGGTCCTTAAATAAAATGCATGTACAAAAATGGAAAACTATCCAAAGGTTATATAACAACGTATAAAAATGTTTCTTAAATTTCAGATAAAATGAAAACAATGAAAACTCAAATGAACACGGTACAGGACGTTTCTTTCTGTACGGCAAGAAGACGATAATGTTGCTGCAAATTCAAGAAATAATCTGCGGTATATTAAACGTATTAATCATATTATGTAAGTTTCTTAGAAAACGGCAAAAGAGAAAACAGCATGAAAAAGATTAATGGACTGAATATTATTTTGCAATATTATTATCATCGATAAATTTATAATGATTTTTTTTGTAAATAATACAGATAACTGTATAATTATTGTTATTATAATAACCGTTCGTATATTTTCAATAAGTTTCTTTAAATTTATAAAAAATATTTTTATAATTTTCTATATAAAAATGTATTACGTAGACAAGAATGTTATAAAAAATGATTTAAGCAAGCGATTACATAACTAAGATAAAAAATCTAGTTATATAAATAGCATAAAAGTATCATATGAAAAATGTTAAAACGAGAAAAGCTTTAAAAATTAGTTAAGGATATTTTTCTGTATCTATTTTCTATGTATGTATCTATATGTATATAAAATATCTGTCTTCAAGTATTATATATTATTTGATTCCATTGAATTAATATTTCAAAATAACTTAACCCCTTACAAATTGTATACTATCAAATCCCTTTACATAACACGTATACGAGAAAGATTACTATATTTAATGCAGTAACAGTTAAAAATTATAGCTCGATATGTAATGTTATATTAATGTCATATATTAATTCAATGAAATTATTATTAAATATTAATTAAATATATATATATATTATATATATATAATATATTATATATTATATTAATATTTAAATAATAATATTTTTACTTTCTTCAATGTTCATTTTAATCGTGTAAACTATTATTACATATCACAATATATATAATCATTTTGTCAGTAACAGCAAGCATCTTAAGTTATCGAGAACCAGTTCTACTTTACTAATTATTATACTTTTCATTAATTATTGAAAAACTCAGAAAATGTTAAAGAACTTTTTATATTTAGTTTAACTCATTCATCAATGAAACTTTCAGAATGTATCCAAGTGGTGTATTATTTGATAGATTATATATAAAAAAGATTTCGTATTACCACCGATACTATCTGACATAAAACCTTTTACTATAAGAAAAGGACAAGATATATGGATACCGATTTATGGACTTCATCATGATCCTAAGTATTTTGAAGAACCAAAGAAATTTAATCCCGAGCGGTTTCTTGGTGAGCGGAAGAAAAACAGTCTCAACTATGGTGCCTAACTTCCTTTTGGTCTAAACCCAGAAAATTCATAGGAAACAGATTCGCGTTGCTGGAAACGAAGATTGTGCTTTTTCACTTGCTAGCACGTTGCGAATTAAAACCTTGTGAAAAGATAGTGATTCCGATAAAGATAGTTAAAAGTGCTTTTATTTTGAAATCATAAGATGGTTTCTGATGGTTGAATGTGACATCCAGGAAAAATACGCATCATTCTATCACAGTTAATATTGTGAATGGAACGTGCAAGTTGTAAGGAAATTTAGTTAAGTTCATTGTGCTATTAGAATTTATAATTGTGAATGTATCAAAAAGTAAAAATTAGAAAATTTTCAATCATTTTGTTAATTAGTGACATTGTACCAATGAAAAAAAAGATTTTATAATATAACAGGTTTGTAGTTTTAGTCAAATGAGTACTTTATGTAATTTTATAAAATTAAAAGTTTTCGAATGTTAATAATTTGCCACTGCAATAAATAAAATAAAAAATCTATTGCAAAATATATTAGGATAAATACAAATACAGCATTATATATTTCAAATTTCATTTAACTTTCAAATAAAACAAAAAATAATGGAATAAAATAATAATGACGTAAGGTTTGTTATTCTTGATTTGTTTCGATAAGAAGATGTTTATACCTCACAAAGTAAGTCTCTCTTACTTCGTGGTTTATACTGATGTGTATGCACAAGATTCAGCGAAGTAAAATTGCTGAATCATTAATACTTTATTCTGAGATTGTAATGCTAAAACGATGTGATTATCGCAAGAAACGCAGAAAACATGCTCAAGTATTATTAATTAATAAGATAAAAAAATATAAAAGGAAGAACGGGGGGTATGTTATAGATATATAATGTGTGCGAGTGCGTGCGTGCGTGCGTGCGTGTGTGTGTGACGTAATTGCATTTGGTATTTGCAGTTTTATAATTTATTATGACAGTTGCAATTAAATGTAAAAATTCTAATTTATTTTAATAAATATCAGTTTATTTAATTATTATTCTGATATTTTCTTATACTGATTTCTTTGTGCGTTGTTTCTTTGTTTCAGAAAATCATAACATTTTTATATAAAAATATTCTTTGAACAATAAAAACAGTGTTATTATCTTTCACTAAGAAAATGATAAAAAAAGACGATATGAAGAGAATTAAAGATCAAGTGTTATTTATCATCTATTGTGTGTGTCATAATCATTGATTAATTCCTAACTTATGACGTATAAATCTTTGGATGGAGCATTTTGGCTACGGATTTGGTTTTAGCACGCCAAAAACTTTCGGGATCACATACTGCCGTTTCTGGGTCAAAATTCATGTCGACCTGTATTATCGTTTATTACAAACAATTGACGAGTCACATAAAAATGTATGTACATTACATTAGCATATTATGAAATATTTTACTTATAATACTAATTCAACTAAAATCTTTTTAAAATTGTGTTAAGCTTTTTATTCGCGTTCATAAATGCCATTTTTACTTTTAATATTAATTTAAGCTCGCGCTTTGCCCTATTTAAATATTCTATATCTTAAAATACAGGCTACTGAATTAATAGAGAAATACTCGATAATATCTATTATCTCTAGAAAGAAAAAACTCTTATTATTATAGAAAACAATTACTGACAAAGAAAAGATAAATCCAAACGTATATACTTATGTATTTGAATATTTTATTAGATTTTATAATAATGAGACTATCTTATCAAGATGAACTAAAGCTGCATGCAAAATCCTAGCACACTATCATACTTAATAGAGTTCCCCCACACGATACCATGTACGTCGTATATAAGATAAATATTATTCGTGTGGGTAGCAATTGACAGTCAGTCTCCGACGAGTAACGTCAGGCATTTTAATATAGCGCCATATACATATTCAAATAATAGATTAGTCTAGCAGGCTGCTCATTACATTCTTCAAGTTCAGTATTGTGTGTATGTGCACTGTGTAAACACAATTAACATTATGATATACATAATCGTTTTATTGATAGCAGGTACTCTAAGTCTTTATTATCTTCTCTTCAAAGATTTAAATTATTTCAAGAAACATGGAATACCGTATGTGAAGCCTCTTCCCATAGTAGGAAGTATGGGACCAACTTTCCTCCGTCGTCAATCAATACCTGACTTTATCAAATCGGTATACGATTTATATCCCGACGCCAAGTACGTCGGCTTATACGATGTAAAAAATCCAATTATAATGCTTCGCGATCCTGAGCTTATTAAATCCGTGACATTGAAACATTTTGACATGTTCATGGACCATATTAGTTTCATCGATGAAAATCAAGATCCAGTTTTTGGAAAAAATCTCGCCGCCCTTCGCGGAGAGAGATGGCGTGAGATACGATCTATATTAAGTCCGGCTTTCACGTCCAGTAAAATGAAAAGTATGTATAAACTGATGTTCGATTGCGGTGTCGACTTTGGCAGTTATTTGGCTCAATTACCACCAGAGGAAAGGATAATGGAAATAAAAGATGTTTTCACAAGATTTACAAACGATGTAATCGCTACTTGCGCTTTTGGCGTTAAAGTAGATTCTATGAGAAATCGAAAAAATGATTTCTATGTGTACGGCACGGAGGTAACCAATTTTACAGGAACTTTAATTTTTTTAAAGTTCTACATACTTAGAACTTTGCCCTGGCTTGCACGAATATTTAAACTGACATTCGTTCATGAAAAGATAGCGAATTTTTTTCAAGAGCTTGTAAAAACCACTATAAAAGCTAGAAATGAAAATGGTATTGTTCGTCCAGATATGTTACAATTGATGATGGAGAGCAGAGGTAAAGATGGCAAGACAAAATTAACTATCGATGATATGGTATCACAGGCGTTTATTTTCTTCTTTGGAGGTTTCGAAAGTACTTCAACGTTAATGTGTTTTGCCGCTCACGAAATCGCGATAAATCAGAACATACAGAAAAGACTTCAAAATGAAATTGACCAAGTCTTGGAAGATACGAATGGGCAAGCAACTTATGAAGCGGTTAATAACATGGAATATCTAGATGCTATAATTAATGAGGCTTTGAGGATGTACCCGGTTGCTGTGATGTTGGACAGATTATGCTTGAAAGATTTCGAGCTACCACCGCCGTTACCAGGAATAAAACCTTTTACTATAAAGAAAGGACACGGCATATGGATACCGGTTTATGGACTTCATCGTGATCCTAAATATTTCGAAGAGCCGGAGAAGTTTGATCCTGAGCGATTTCTTGGTGAACGGAAGAAGGACAATCTCAACTGCGGAGCCTACCTTCCTTTTGGTCTTGGTCCCAGGATGTGCATAGGTAACAGATTTGCATTGCTGGAGACGAAGGTTCTACTTTTTCAATTGCTAGCACGTTGTGATTTAAAACCTTGCGAGAAGACATCGGTACCGATCAAGATCACTAAGAATAGCTTTTTTATGAAACCTGAAGGTGGTTTCTGGTTGAGTGTAGTGCCGAGGAAAAACACACATCACACTATTACAGCTAATGATATCAATGGGACATGCTAGATGTAAAAAGATAGAAATTAATTTGTCTAATCAAATCTTTAAAATTTATAATTAAATTAATACTATCTTCTTATTTTTGGTTAGTACCATAATACTGATTAAAAAGGAAAATTTTTAAAACAGATTATTGTACAAGTATAATCAAGAAGAAAATTATATCGTTATACATACATAAAAACTGAAAACTGATATTGTGTATATATACTCATATATATTTTAAAAAACAGGCAATATTAGTTAGGAAAGTTAATTAATGTTATCATATTGTGTTAATATTAATTTTAGAAACTACTACAGTAATTCACTAATTTATAGCATGTAGAAAAGTATACATTCTTGAATAATATGTCTGCTGTTTAATTGGATTATTTGGAAATATGCTCAGAAAATCGTGCTAAAAACAATCTGATGAATTTGCAAAAAACTAAAAAATGTTTGCAAATTTTTATATGTTATATATGTTATATAATATTACAGTATATAGACAAGAAATAAAACTAATATTCCTGATATATTTACCTATACAAGTAATATATTTTATTAAATTTTTTATAATCTATCGTTTCATTTAAAATATAATAGCTGAAGATGCTGAATGAAGAGCAAAAATAAAAGAGAAGAAAAAAATTCGCTATCGAAGATATAATGTTGTAAACATTTATTTTTCTCTTAATTGTCTTTATAGCAACTCAATACTGATTAAGTTTCACAAAACTATCATCAACCGTGATATCCTAGATAAGTTTGGAAGCAAAATCAATAATATATATATTGAAAGATTCAAACAAAAAACATTGTTGCGAAGCAATTTATAGAATGAAAGTTCTTTGAATACTGTAATTAACAAAACTCAAAATGTATAAGTAGTATTGAACAGAGCATAAGTATATGTAAAGCTTTTCAAATTATGATCTTTTGAAAAAACTTTACTATAAAAGAGAACAATCATCTTATGATATGAATTTATATGACTTTAAGATAATTTCAAGCACTTTAAAGGATCGCAAAATTCGATTCTGAACGAATGCATTCTGAACGATTTCACAATAGACGGAGATAAGATAATTTTAACTCTGATGTTTATCTATCTTTCGATTTAAGCTGGACAATATGTACAAATGATAAATTTATGTTCTTTGAAACGAAAATGTTGTTAATTCAATATTGCTTAAGTTTCTCAAAATAAGATATAAAAACTGAGAACAGTTTCTGAATGTGATATAAAAGCATCTATATAATAATTACTTTAGCAACAGATATCCTAGCAATGAGTTTTGTAATCTAATTGATTGTAATTATAATGTCAAATAAAAAGATATCATTATAGTATATAATATTTTAAAAAATATTTTCTGTATATATTATATAATTATTGTATGATTAACATAACGTTGATCTGAAAAAATTTCTTAATTGTTAAATATATATATGTCGTTCATTCGTTTTATTTTCATACCTAAAACTTCTTATTTCATCAAATGATAATTTTAATAAAAATTGAGTAGATACATATATATACATTATTTTAATAGCTTTATTTGTAAAAATATAGTTATACTAAATATTTTCAACTGCAATTAACAAAAAATTTACATGTATGAACAAAAAATAAGAATATTACAAATATTAAGAGGAAAAAAAATAAGAGATGAAAGATAAAAATGAGAAAGTCAAAAGAATACAGTTATAAATTTTTTAAATGTATAAAGACATATTCCATGAAACAGTTCAGATTTAGTATTGTAACAAATACCAATTGTCAGGATTCTGCGTATCATGTCTGCGACAGAATTTTGCATTGACCAAAGAGGATCTGCATTGGTTGCACGTTCTCTCATGCAGTTGCATGGTGGATATAACAGTCGTATAATGTATTCGGCTACGTGATTGGGCGTTTCCAGAGACACGATACGAGCTTGTGAATGCCACTTTAATGAGCGGTCGGAACGTTCCCTCGGCGACCATTGCTAAAGGAATCGCGACTCGTAGTCTTCGACAGACAAACCAGTTTCTATCAAATAAGATGCTTGCGTGACGCGCCGTTGCTAGTGAACCAACTGGACACTTTGTTGTATTTGATCCACTTGATCATTAGACGCAGTTATCCTTCGCTGCTACGGGAAGTCCTTGTAATTTAGATAATTAGTGGCCGACTGAGCCACTTAATTATCATTAGTCGAGTTCTACATCTAATGCATTCTAATGAGCAAGATAACAGCTAAAAAGACAAGAAAAATTTCTACATTTATATCTCGTAAACTAGTCAGAAAACAACAAAATATATATTAAAGAAAATAATAAAGAAAACAATATTTTTTTAAACAGTGTGTGTATAATCTAAACATTAATAATCTCATTTTTAGACCGTACATGTGAGAATACAATCGATAAACTAGAACCCTATATCAGTCGAAGCTAGATCTAAACATGTTAAAAATGATAATTACAGAAAGAAGACTAATTACAAAAAGTAACAGAGTATATAAATTATTTAATAAGTGGTCTTATGTTTTTTTCATAAAAAAAGTATTTTGTAAGTTAAATAAAATTTGATATACATAAGTAGTTTGTAGCGCGATTATCTTGATAAAAGTAGTTATTATCAGCTTTCCGAGATGTGTATTCGAAGAAGTATTTTCTGACTCGATAAAAGTACCCCTTCTAATCTAATTCACTTACTGCCGTTGGAAAGGGACCGCATGTTGGAGAAGGGCCAAGAATTGATGAAGTGGAGATCATAAGGGTGGCGCGAAACGATGTATTGTCTCGCTACGAAGAAATTGAACAAGGTAAGTGGCAAAAACACTCTTACAATTATTTTCGGAGTTCCTCACACTATGCTATTTACTTGTACTGCAAAATATGCATTCTACCAAATGTTAAAACTAAAAAGTTAACCGATTAAATCGATTTATCATACTTATTATTATTAATACAGAAATTTATCTCTAAAATTTTATCGTTAAATTTTATCTTTTACTATACAATATTTTATTTAGTCCTGCAATGATTATTCAAGAGCATACTAGTTCTACAATTTCATTTCTAAGTATTTTGAGCTATAAGCAAATCTTCTTTTTACAATCCCGCATTCACTAAGATTACTAAGTTGTTAGAACTGTTATGACTCAACGCTTCACGCACAATAATTTGTCATTTGCAATTATTAACATACATGCGCAACACAGTATATAAATTATTTTACAGATATAATATTACAAAAGTAATTGTGGACAAGTATAAAAATGTGATCGATTGTACGTCGGCCTTATATATAATAGTAAATACTTAGTTATAAATCTTGTAAATTCAACGATTCTAATTAAAACGCATTATAAAATATGTAATAATAATCTGTCATTTTTTGTCTACTTAAATAAAACATATACTGAATACATATGTACATTAATATGATAAAATAAAAAATCTATCTTTTAAATGAAAAAAGATACTCATATAATGTTAAATTAAAGTTAATATAATCATATAAATTGCTATAAATTAAACAAAATTACAAAAAAATAAATTAACTCTTCGCGGACAATGTAAAATTTTATCCAACCACAGTCTAAGTTTTCAAATTTCAGTGCAAATTTTTATATTGTTACGGTATTGTATAAAAATTAAAAAAAATTCTCACATACTTATGAAAGCCTTAACAACAAATTTTTATCGTCACAAAAGTTGGATTATATTTTATTTATTATTGAAATTGAAGAGGCTCCGTTAGCTGCATTCTTGGATCTTATTTTTAATAATTTTTAATGATATTTGGACATCGCTGAGGATGGCTCGAACTGAGCCGAAACGTCCGATTTCATCATATTAGTTGTAAGGTCTATGAAATACATTGTTAACGTATAACGCTTTAATAACTGCGTCTTAATTTTTTGCTCTCAATCGCCTGTTATTGATTATATATTTTATTGTTAATCTCGAGAGCTCAATTTTATCTTAAATTTATTTATTTGTATTTTATTTATTTTTTAACGATTTTTAAAGAATCACGCACTATCATACAGAAAAAGTGGCTTTGGTCAAATTAACTAAAATATTATATTGACTGCAATAGTTTTATTATGAGATACTGATTGAAAGTTTCCTTAGACAAAATTATCAAATGGAGAGAATTTTGTAGCACCATTTGATAGCTGCTCTTTTGGAGCTAATCGGACTGTAAAATATCTTTATCAACTAAACTGTTTATTTTTTGGTAACTAACTGTACCTTAATATAATACTTTTATGCACAGAATAATGAGATGAATCATTTAATGTAAAAAAATGCATACATAGTTATTTGAACGCATACATAGTTATTTCTAAAAAATATGTAATTTGTAAATATATATATATATATATATATAAAAATTAATTTAGTTATCCAGAGTTGCTCAATGTGTATATTTTATATAAAGTATTATACTCTGTGTTATTTAATAATAAATATATCTATACATTATTTATTCTCATCATTTTCTTCTTTTTGTTTTTACAAAATCTATATATCAATGAATTATAAAAAATATTGTATGAAGAAAATTAATACACTTCTATAAATAGAAATTGCTACAATCTCTCTATCTCTTTTGCAATTGCTACAATCTCATTAAATTATATTTCAACACTTTCAATATTACTAATTATTAATATTTGCGACTAATAACTTCAAAATATCTTGAACTTATTATTATTACATACATATAATATTATAAAATGTACGTTCATGAAGACGCATGACAATTTCTGTTACAAAAAAATAATTTTTATTATAAATGTAGTTTTTTGTAGTAGCTATATTGTTATCATTTGAAACATTTTATAAAACTTAGCTATATATCCATTACTGTATAGACTCCAGCACAGGATGCATATCTTTTCTACGCTGAATGTTCAACCAGAATCCATTTTCCGGCATCATCACCAGAGTTTTGCTGAGTTTTATTGGAGATGTAGTTTTCATGGAAAATTTCAGTTCACATCGCGCTAATAAATGAAACAGCAAGATTTTGACTTCCAACAGGGCAAACCTGTTAGCTATGCACATTCTTGGTCCTAATCCGAATGGCATATAATACAAAGAATTGTGCATTTGGTTGTTTAAAAATCTTTCTGGATCAAATTTTTCCGGATTATCATAATACTTTTTATCACGATGAATTGCGAAAATCGGAATCCAAAAAGTCATACCCTTCTTCATGGTAAAAGGTTTCTCGTCCGGCAATGCGGGTGGTAATTCATACGTTTTCTCGCACGTTCTTTCTAAGAAAGTGACTGGTGGATATAATCTGAGAACCTCGTTTATCACCGCATCTAAATATTCGAGCCGATTAATAGCTTCGTAAGACACTTTTCCGTTCGATTCCTCCAAAACCTTGTCGATCTCTTGTTGTAATTTGTTTTGAACTTCTGGATTAGCTGCGATTTCATGAGCTGCGAAGGATATCGCGGTTGAACTTGTTTCGAAGCCACCAAAGAAAAAGACGAACGCTTGCGCAGTCATGTCGTCGATATCTAGTTCTCTATGACTTTCTTTACCTCTGATATCCATCATTAATTGTAGCATATCCGGACGTGTAATGTGTTCCGTATCACGAGTGGCAATTGTAGTCTTTATAATATCCTTGAAGAAGTTTAACACATAATCGTTTATAAGCTTTAAATTGAGAATTCGTCCAAGACTTGGAAAAGTTCTAAGAAAAATAAATTTCAGACTGCGACTCCCTAAGAAACTAGTCGCTTCCTTGCCGTAAACATAGAACTTGTTCGTTGGATCTTTCATAGAGTTGATCTTGATTCCGAAGGCACATGTGGCGATGACATCATTCGTATATTTAGAAAAGGCATCTTTCATGTTCATATCACTTTTATCCGCTGGCAATGTCGACAGAAATTTAGCAAAATCTACAGCACATTCCGACATCAATGTGAACATCATTTTCATTTTGCTGGATGTAAAAGAAGGACTCAACAGAGTTCTCACGTTCCGCCATTTTTCTCCGCGAAGAGAAAACAAATTTTTCGCAAGTAAAGGTTGATTCAATTCGTTAAAACCACGACGATTTGGAAATGCGTCGAAATTTTTAACAAGGATAGTCTTAATGAGTTCCGGATCACGAAGCAAGAAGATTGGATTTGTCGTGACGTAGATTCCAAAATACTTTGCGTCTGGATTAAAATTGTACATCTTGAAGATAAAATCGAAGAATGACATTCGATTAAATATAACCGATATCATGGATCCGAATATTGGAACGGGCGGTACATGGATCACACCATGTCTTTTAAAGAAATTAAAATTTCTGAAAAGATAATAAATGCTGATCACACCGATCACTATCGATAACAATATAGACCAGTATTCCATGGTAAACTTATTTGAAAAGCTCTTTATGATTTTTGTAAATATATGATAAAATTTGACTGACTAAAGAGTGTTAGTGATACTTCCAACGCGAATCGTTGCAGACAACTGTTCATAAAGCAGTTACTATCTCGTAATATATACCAGTAATATGTCAGTAATCTTACTTGGAATTCTGATGCAAGTTTTCAAGCTGACATTATATAAAATCGATCATCATTACTATACTTTGTTTGGTGTAAATTAATAAATCTTGGATAATATTCTCTTTACTAAAATTTATATAATATGCAATATTAATATAATAACATCTAAATAGCTATTTATTGTGTATGCTAGACATTGTTATATAAACATATAGGGATGTGTAAAATTAAATGCTTATGTAACAGTAAAAGACAAATAAGAAGCTCATGATCTCATATTCAATTTGCAATTAAAAATACTAATGCATATATATAAATTTTTGCACTTAATGTTATTAGTGTCATATTATTTCTAAATAATACATAAAACGGTATATATTCGATTAAAAATATTTTTTATTGAAATATTAGCATTTGATAATATAAAATCAAATAAGATGAAAAGTAAATATATATATATATATAAAATTAATATATATAAAATTAAATATACATAAAATTAATTTTATTAAAAGAAAACGCACCAATTTCCAATTGAAGAAAAAAAATATAAATATAGTTTATATGAGAACAAAGTTTTATCAAATCTTATATCTTATATAGTGCTATATATAAGACTCTGTTATTTTATTTTATTTTATCTTGTATTTCTTACTTGTATAATTATCTGTTACACATCTACTTTTTATCACTGCTTGTTGATACGAAATAAGTATCATCATTAAAGTTATCATATTTACGTAACAAGTTAACGCAGCATGCAATTTATGAATCTGATGTAACTGCATGCAATGCTTTGGTTTGATAAAAAATTATTATTCCCCTACACGGAATAATTTTCTTAGAATTTATCCTGAAAATATGGTAGTCCTGAGACAACGCTTATCGTTCGATTGTATTTCGAAGAATTTTATATAAATTTCTCTCATTCATTAATAAAATTATAATAAAATATAAAATAAGTTTGATTAATTTTACTGAAGTGCATGGTAAAAATCTTTGAAATATTGTATTGTATAAGTATCATATTTTCAGGGTAAATTAAAAAAAAAATTCTCTCCGTGTGTGTACTTAATATCAATACACATACTTATTCGTCGACTTTATCGGTATTCAAATAATAAATTACGTAGAATGATTGTGCAACGTTCCGTAGGTCATATATGGAATCTAATAAAATTCACGTAGGGGTAGGTACGTTATACATTACATATTGGCTACGTTTAACCGTGCATTTAGGCCGCGGCCTATACGATAGATGTTCTTGTTTATCCTGTAGGTTAAACAAAGACACCTATCGTATAGGTCGCAGACTAAGCGTACGGTGTAAACGTAGCCATTATGTCGAAGTATAAACCTAAGTCAATTGCAAATAATTGTCAGCGGACTACGTAACGTGTAACAATATACAGGGTGTTAGTTAAGTATGTTGCCATACTCAACAGAGCGATTCTTTCGTTTATTTCAAGTAAAAAAGTCCATATAAACATGTGTCCTAAATGGCTTAGTTTCCGAAATAAAAAAATTTAAACGTGTAGTAATAATCCGTTTATTTAAAAGAAATACAGCTTGAACTAGTCAAAAACTAGTCAAAAACAGAAAAACAGAAACAGGCTTGAGTTCTTCTGATGAAATAAAACAATTAGATGAATTGTTGAATGTCCACTTTGCGCCATGATACATCCATCGAGCCTTCTTCTCAAAGATTGACGTACACGTTCAAAGATCAGAACTGAGATCTATTTTTGATTTTATGACTTTGACTTTGTCATTTTGTTTACAGTTGTGCGAATGATAACTCACGTGAAGCAAGGCATATTTATGCAGGAAGATATCTCCAACACAATTTACTATTTTGTCAAACATTTGCGAACATTCACCTGTATTTCGGAAACTAAGCCGTTTAGGACACATGTTTATATGGACTACTTGAAATAAACCAAAAAATCGCTCTGTTGAGTATGGCAACATGCTTAACTAACACCCTATATATGTGTTGATAAAATACGTAACAGCTTTTTTATTTATAATGTTTTTGATAGTAAATTATATATATAGATTATTATTAGTGATTTTTACTGATTTTTTGTAACAATTTCAATTTTACAACTCTATGATGTCCACTTTTCTCTACCCACATCTTTGATTCTATCATAAGTGAAATCATTTTGACCTTGATTTCTATCATGCGAATGAGAACATATCATTCGGATAATCATTCAATTAACTCGATTGCTTGATAAGTATTGCTCTCAGTGAGTGAAGTTAAAAACAAGATTACTATATGCTGAAGTGCGCAATGATCTTAAGTTCTATAACAATAACAATATATATAAAACAAGAGCAAATGAGAGCTATTACATGGTTATTAGTAATATATTATTTAATTAATTATTATTCACAGTCTATACAGTTATTATAAACAATTGTTGACGTTTTGGTTATATTTTTTCAGCCATCTTCTAAATAATAAATACATTAATTAAAAATTAAAATTTAAAATTTAAAATTGAAGAATGAAGACACCTTCCCATCGAACTTGAGTGTTCCAACATTTCAATTTTGTGAACTTTTCTGTTTCTCAATTTTTAGGCTGGTAAGATCTATATGTACGAAGTTGTTTTTTAGTTCTGTGAGATTGTTAATTCTTAATAACTCACCGGTTCTAATGAGGAGAGTGCAACTCCATTATAATTAAGTATACATATATGTATCTAATGAATAACCCCCCATTTAAAATATATAATAATTAAACGTATAACAAATTTTTTTTTATAAAACAATTTTGATAAAATTTTCAAGAATTAAGATGCATCTTATAGAATGGTTTTTAATGATTTATGAGATGAAAGACATGTAAGGAAAAGTAAATAATAATAATAATAACAATAATTTTTATTTTTTTTATTTTGGTAACATGAAATTGTTCTTGAAATTATAATTAATAATGATTATTTAGCATCTTATTTTTCTACTTTAATGATCCGTTTGATAAATCGTGTTTTTGATGTATAAAAGAAATATGTACCTATATAAAAATATGTACCTATAAAAAAATATTGCTATGTAATATCGTATTCTCTATATCTACTTATTATACACATATTTTATGTTTAAACACATTTCGTTTTATATATCGCTGTAAAATATAACGATTATTAATACCAATAACTTGTTATGTTTAAATGAAAAATAATGTTCTATCTCTTTTATATATTGTACAGATTTATATATATACTATATATATATATATATCATCATCTTTACGCAATTTTTTAATACATTATATAACTTTCCTACAATATTCTTTCGTATTCTAATAATTATATAAAAATTTTTTGTTTCGTATGAAATTTCATCGTAATAATTCGTATTATATTTAAAATAATTTAAATTTCATTCTGACATAGAAATTTATACATTTAAATTAATGCATAAAAAATTTCATCACATCAATTATTTATTGATAATACTAAACAATATAAATGATAAATAAACAGATTAAGAGTTAATATTACATTCAATTTCCATGAAACGTTAATGATAAAAAAGAAATAAAATTATCAGCAAATGAAAACATTATTGCTTTGTAGTTGATTCGATTATTTTAACGAGAACTTTATTTAAAATAAAACTACGTGCGCATATCCAAATCAGTTTAAGTGTTATTTCTCTCGGTTAAATGATATTACGTCGAATTCATATCTAAATATAAATAAATGCAAAATTTTGTATAATAACAATAAATGCAAAATTTATTAGCAATTCTTTTGAATTTAAATATGGCCATTAGGCGCACTATCATTAACAACGTTAGAGGATACACTAGTATTGTCTCTCGCTTGGATCTTTAGCCAGAATCCTCCTTCTGCTAGCATAGCGAAATTTGTTTTGCTCAATTGCAACGGATGCGAAGTTTTTGCGCACATTTTTAATTCGCAACGAGATAATAAATGGAATAACATCACTTTGGTCTCCAATAATGCAAACCTGTTGCCTATGCACATTCTTGGTCCAAGTCCAAATGGAATATATGCAGCTGAATTTATGTCTTTCTTATTTTCATCCAAAAAGCGTTCGGGATAAAACTCGTCCGGTTTCTCGAAATATTCTGGATCCCGATGTAGACCGTAAACAGGGAACCAAACGTTCATTCCTTTCTTTAAAAGGAAAGGTTTGTCTCCAGGCAATGCTGGAGGTAGCTCAAAATCTTCCACATTTATCCTGTCCAGAAAAGCAGCTATGGGCCATTTTCTAAGAGCCTCATTGATCACCGCATCCAAATACTGCATTCCGTTTAGTACTTCATAGGTTAAATCCCCGTTGTTTGTCTTGAGAGCATCGTCTACCTCGTCGCGCAGTTTTGCCTGTACGTCTGGATTCACGGCAATTTCGTGAACAGTGAAGCACATCAAGGAAGAGACAGTATCAAAACCGCCAAAAAAGAAAATAAATGCCTGCGCGGTCATATCCTCGATAGTCAGCTCCTTTTTAAGTCCTCTTTTTCCTCTGGTCTCCATCATCAATTGCAGCATATCTGGTCGTACGATATTTTTTGTGTCTCTGATGTCTATCGTGCTCCTTACGAGATCTTTGAAAAATTCACCTATGCGATTGCTAACAAATCTAATACCCAACATTTTGGCGACATGTGGCATACTTCTAGTTATGTAAAATTTTATGGTGCGCAGAGTGCCGAAAGTCGTAGCTTCTTTTCCATAAACGTAGAACTCGTTGTTAGGATTCCTCATAGAATCGACGCTGACACCAAATGCGCAAGTTGCAATTACATCATTTGTGTATCTAGTAAAGCAGTTCTTCATTTCTATAATATTTTTGTCTGCAGGTAAATTGGCAAGATAGTCAGTAAAATTGGCAGCACAATCGGACATCAATTTAAACATGGTTTTCATTTTACTAGAAGTAAAAGCCGGACTTAGTAAGGTCCTCACATCTCGCCACCTTTCACCACGAAGCGAAAACAAATTCTTGCCGAACAGAGGGTCGTTAGCTTCGTCGACGAAAGCGCGATGATCGGGAAACGTCTCGAAATTCTTAACGCCGATGGCTTTGATGAGATCAGGATCGCGAATCATTACGATTGGATTCATACCGTCAAAATAACCAACATATTTGGCGTCTTTATTTAGGTAGTAGACTTTTTGAATATTTTCAGCCAGCGATATCTGCCGTAAAAAAACTGGCCCCATATTACCCACGATAGGCCATGGTGGTATGTGTGCAATCCCATATTTCTTAAAAAAATTTAAATTTTTAAAGAAATAATAATAAATGGCAATGGCACCAGTTAATAGAGACAACAATATCCAAGTGTCCATGATGATTATGAAGTTGACGTTTCAATATAGCACGTTAATCGCGTTCTGTCTCGATGTTGCTAGATCACGAGTAAACCAATGACTGTTGCGGTTGAGAGAATTATTTCCTTTTATATAACTGATGCATTTGCTCGCTTTACGTAATATGACATGTGATTACTATTATCGTGGACGGAAAGCGAAAGTGAGAACAACTATACCATACTGATAGCGTAACTTAATCTCAATAAAATAATCTCAATTATAAATCTTTTTAGCTATAATATTAGAGTTCAGATCTTGATGTTTGTCTTCTTTTTCGGTTGTAAGAGAGTTTCTTAACACATCATGTCCAATAATAAAATTTCATACGTCAATTTTTCAAATTTCTTTATACAACGAACTGCTCGTTTAACAGCGAGATTCTCGTTAAATCATAAGTGTTCCAATATGGTCAAAAAAGTGAATATATTACATCAATGCAATTAAACTAATCAGTAAATTACATAAAAGAAGTTAATGAAATTGTGACATTTATATAACGAGAACTTACATCCATGGTGTATAACAGTTCTTTAACATTTAACATTTTAACAATTAAACGGAGTTCTAATAACATACGATTTCCAAGGATGACTAAGATGACAGTGATATTCATACTTATTATATAAGAAGAGCTATAATACGATATATGTAAAGCGTTCGCTATTGATTACATTGTGAGATTTCATATCAAAATAAAATCCATCAAGCATTTCAATATCTTTTTTACAATTTACATCGTTTTCCTCTTCTTTTATGTGAATCATTTCTATGTATAATTAATCTTTTATTGTAATTATATTAAATATCTAATATTTTCACCCCTTCCCAATCAAAAATGTTATTTGTCTCTAGAATGTGTTCTATAATGACTGAATGCTTTGATGGATCTAATTTTATGTTATATATATATATATTATATTGATGTGTTCTTTAATTCTGATTACGTAGTTTCCTTTTTTGTTTGTCTTACGTATGAACTATTACAATTTTTGCAATTAATTTTATAAATTACGTGATTGTTATTGTACAATTTTATTTTACTTTTTTGAGTCTTCATAAATCTACTAAGTTTATTTAAACTTCGAAAACCTAGCTATTGTAGTTGTGGATCTATTTATGAAAGATGTTGCTACTTCTAATAGATACCTGTAACATAAGGAACCACCATATACTCTTTTTTTTATTGTTTCCTTCTTATTTCCTTCTATTTTATTATGATGAATATTTATTTTATTTTTTAACCTTCTATTTATAATATCAAAAATGAAACCTAGAGAGTTACAAAAATAGGTTAAAAAATTATCTAACAACATATTAATGCATAATTCAATATTTTTACTATAAAATGAAGGATAAAATAACAAAATGGAACGATCTATTAGACTGCAAATGGTTCCTATTGTCTGGTATTTAGGATGGTTTGAATAGAAAGATAAATAACATTCAGAAGAAATTTCTTTGTGAAACCAATCTATGATTATTTTGTTAACTTCAATGTTCAACGAGATGTCCAAAAAATAATTAATAGTTATCACGAGCGCCTGAAATTCACTGCTGAAGTGGAGGTTAACCATTGTCTTAATTTTTTGTTAATATCTATTTTTGCAAAATGTTCATTATTTATGGATTCAATAAGTTATGATTTTAATGACCCACGCAATTCGATAAACAATTTGTCGAAACATTTATTTTTAGTATTGTTCAGTAAATTGTTTTGCTCATGCAAATATAACATGGCAGAAAATTGTATGAAATATAATAAATATGAAGAATTGTTGCTCATATAAAATTATTTATAAAACCTTTAGAGATTTCATATATTTTTAAATATCTTTTGATTACGTGTCTATTTTTTTTAATGTCTATCTTTTTCTTAAATTAAATGTTTGCAGACTACAACATGTAGACTGATTATATATTTCAAATGACTTTTCTTTTTGATTCGGTAATGTAATATTAAAAGTAGATCTCGTCGCTTTTTAGTCTTATTCTCGGGTGTATTTGCTTTGTCGGTGTGATCTCTTTTCCCAAGTCCGATCTATACTAGATTGCCGGGTAATACCGCAGGTTATTTGGCTTTCTCTCTTAAACACCGTGGAACATCGCCTTGGATCCAGGATATTGCGAACGATGGGATCACTGTACGGAAACAAAGCCAGGCACTTAGCGGCAAATTAGCGATGGCTAGGGGCGCCACTGTCGCTCTTCATTACACCGATACCCTCCTACCTTCTACCTCCTCAACCCCTCCCATGATATCCCCTAACTCGGTCTAACCCTCTTAACCTCGTCCAGACAATGCACACGCCATCCGTTCTTTGCGTATATCGGCAAACGAAATGTCGATTGTGTGTGAAAATTCTTTAAATTATGATAGCTTTATTTCTTCCCTTTTGTTACTTTCGCCCACAATATCTTAATCCAAATATATTCATGTAATTCTCATATCGCAATATTCTTCGTATATGTACATTATTTATTTCCTATATTTACTATATTTACTATATGTATAATATATGTATAGCTTAGCACTGATAAATTATTATTATATATTACATTGTTATTGTTACACCCATAATTTATTTCCTGATTCAAAATTTTCGGACAGTACATGCATACCATTCGCGATTGAAAGTCGACAGAAAGAAACATTACTTAACGTATAGAAATCTAAAAATCTACTTCAATTATAATCTTCGAAATAATTTTGTTATCTTGCTGGAATTTTAAATAATTAGATTAACTAAATTTAAAAAAGATTAAAAATAGACTTTTTTGCGATTAGATAGTTTTTCAAGTAAATAGCATTAAATCCTGATAAATTGTTATAGTCATAGACTATTTCAGTTGGCAATGTAAAACACATATAAATTGAATTAAACATTTATTTATCAATGATTAATATAAGATGATTACAAAAGGATGTTTCATCAATTTATATTGAATGCAAGTAGTGACATGTAAAAAATTTAATTTAAACATATAAATGAGGTATTCCACGTCAAACCGAGCGCCTTTGAAATATAGTCATTTTTAATTTTTTAAAAATATGCTGACATATTCTACAGATAAAAATATGAGACACGTGTTTCGCGAAAAAAATTTTGAGATTTTTTTTGTGAAGTTATTTACGCTTGTAAGTTGCAGAAATTCATAAAAAACATCGCTCATGTGAACATTCAAATTATTATATCATCGAAACCATTAGTCGTACAAAAAATGCAAAAGACCAATTTAAAAAATCTTAAATTTTTTAGAAATCTCAAATTGTTTTCACGAAACACGTATCTCATATATTTTACAAAAAAATTTAAATTTTTTTGCGAAATACGTGTCTCATATTTTCATTTGTAGAATATGTCAGCAAATTTTAAAAAAAATTAAAAATGATATTTCAAAAGTGCTCGAATTGACATGAAATACTTCAAATGCGAGAGAAAGCTTGACATAAATTTTCGCTTCTAACATTGTCTAACAATTATCATCAGAAACCAAGAATCTTAAAGCCAAGATTATAAGTAAAGAATATTTATAAGTGTTACGGAAATTAAAAAAATTTCATCTCGAGCGTTTTGTCGATGAATACTTTTAAGGGTATCAAACTGTAGAAATGAAACCTCAGCAACGCGAAGCACGGATGGATTCGTTCCTGGGGAGAAATACGAGAACGTGCCAAACGACGAGTGGCGAGACGGAGAGAACAGAAAGAGCGGACCGGAGGATGTGGGGCTCGTGTAACAGAGTCCATTGTTGAAGCTTATTGAGAATCTGCCAATAGCCCGGGATTCAATTTGACTGGTGAACCATGAACACCATTTAATATACAAGCGCGCGCGCGCGAAGCGTCTCACCGCTCCGCGCCGCGCGAACTTCTGCAACGCAACAAGCACGTGAAACACCTCGAAGCATGATGCCATTCTCGCACCGGAGAACGAAGAAAAAGAAAAACGGAACTTTCGGGATATTCGATATTAGCGGAGTTATCGTCGAGTCTTTTCGGTTCGCGCGATATCCTGCTACCGATCCAAATGGATTTCGGATTCTTTCTCCCTACATTCTTGTCTTTTTTTCTGTCACGTCTTCCTTCATAAACATTTCATAAACAAAAGAAAAACATAAAATTATAATGATAGTAAACTTCTTGTGTATAATTATTTTCGCTGGCTCATATCACTATCATTTTAACGGTTTATATAATTTCCTTGCTACATTTCATATTTTTCACGTCGTCGATCACTAATTCCATTGATGTTGATAGTTCCGTCCGGTTTCTTTGATAAAAACTTTAGAAAAAATTTGCATCGATTGTAGCAACCGATATTTGATGCGTCATGATTATTATGACTCGAATGAATGAGAGATTAAACCGAAAGAGGAAAGTGAACGGGAGGCCGATGCTTTTAAGTGGTTCTTATGCCGTATTTCCCAGAGGAATATTTCGTTTTGGTTCAGACAGAAGTAATGATTAGCGTCGTAACAGAACGCGCTTCGGGCGAAATAGATACCACTTCGCTTTTCCAGCAGTTGGACTTTTAATTTCCTAATGGGCTAATTATCGGTGTGTTCAAGAGAGTAGCTTGTCGCAACGTAATCAGCTTAAGAATAAAATATTTGGAAGTCAATGATTTCGAGAACATGTTTCATTGTATACAATTTGTATCAAGAATTATAGATTATTTTTGATTCCATTAATAATGGGAATAGCTCAAGAGAGAGGGAGAGACGTATGTGTGTGTATAAATCGATTATACACATTAATGGTAATAATCGACTTAAATCAATAATTTTGGCCGCTTAGTATCAAGTGCTATTATATATTAGCTTAAATATTCACATGATACATATATATATTATCAAAATTGTTATTTCTTCTTATAATTAGTAGTTATACAGAGTTGCCACAGACCTGGAAAACCGGGAAAAGTCAGGGGAAAATGCGTCTGATATAAAAGTCTGAAATTTCGAAATTTGCTCACACTTTCCTTAAACTGCTCCTATTCCAAAAATAATTGTTATAATTTTTTAAATGTTATATCTGACGTTTATAGT